ATTAGAGGATTTATCCAAATTAGTAAAGGAGCGAAATATCATTCCCTAGGTTGCATTTAGAGAAATAGTTTTTCGACAACGAGTAAATCAGTATGTGAAAGTCACAATAATTTATAAATACCTAGCATATATACAATAAAAACATGTCATGCTGACCTGACTGCGGGTTAAAAAATAATGTTAAATTAAATAGTAAAAATTAATTGATAATTTATTTATATCATTAATATATTAAATTATTTGTTTTTTTGATAAATATTATACAAGTAACATTATATTGAATAAATATTTTTTAACTAGTATAGGATTTATTATAAGTAGTTAACTTTTGTAATTAAAAGATCAAATTAGCTAGAAGAAATTTTCAATCTTGTTAATATTAACATAAAATAATTTGAGTTTTTTTAATAGAATCCTTTTTCAATATAAAGTATTATAAATTTTAATAAATATTATTGAAATATTAAAGAATTGAAAAAATACTTTAGAGATAAAGGTTCTTTGATCAATAGATTATTGATATCAGTATCAAGAAAATGTTTCATAGATTTTAATATTACAATCTTCTCTCTTTGAATAATTGTATAGATTTACTTAAAAAATAACTTGATTAGATATATACAAAGATTTAAATATAGATCTCACAACTTTTTTTTCTTTTTTCTTTACTTCTTTTTTTTCAACAATTGAGAAGCAAAATCTTATAGTAAATGGCAATAAGCTATCAATAGAGTTCTTCTTAGATTAGCTTTTATTAGATTTTTCTTTGAATATTTTGATTGAATTACAATGTATTCTCTGATTTAATAAAAGTAGGCTGCACCAGTTTTCAAAAAAGGTTTTCAACTATATTTTCTTTTATCAATATGTTTTATGTTAAACCAATCACCTTTGATAAAAAAATATATATACAGTATATACAATATAAAATTTTTAATATAATTTTTTTTTTTGTTAGTGCATATCACGTAAATTATATATGACGATAAAATTTTGAGAAATTTATCGTTATATTGAAAAAAATACTTAATACTTCAAATAATAATAATAAATTTTAAAATCGAGTTTTTTTTTTTTCAAAATTTTTTTATATGCAACCTTTACGTGATCATTCGCGTGGTGAAATTGAAATGGATTAATTACACATAAATTTGCCAATGATTAATTCACAATTGATGTAGCTGTTCCCTGCTTACACTAATTAATAATTCTTTCTTTATCATCTGTTCCTTTTGAACAGTTTGTTCTCTTAATTCTTTAATATACTTCTCCTTTATATGATACATTCGAATTATAAGTTTTTAAGATTATTATTTTTTTTGGTTTTTTTTTTTTTTTTGATAATCAAAAAATACATTCCATTCTCTCTTCATTAATTATTTCCATAGATTGTGCACATATTTCTCTTTAAATTTTAAGTTGCGATGCATCAAGTCCCAATGCGTTTAAAAATAAATTCACATTAGCTATTTTGTGGGCTGCTTTGTCTGTTGGTATCCTTGAAGCGTGCACCACGGTTTCAAGCACTCGTTCCCTATGTTTCATTAGCAAAGATGAATTGGTAAGAAAAAATTAAGGGGGAAGGGGAAAAGCGAAATAAATTAAACGATTACAATCATACCTGACTTCAGTAACTAATATGTGTTGCTGCTCCGTGGAAGCGCCAACTGCCATTGCCGCGAGAAATTGCCATACATACATGTCATCAATGCCAACAAGGAATGGAGGGAATAATGATAAAAAGTGATTTTGTAAAGTGCAAAATAGGAGATTATATAGATCTTGCCTAAAGTATAATTAAAAGTGTATTTAGTGACTTTTCTTGAAAATTGAGTTTGCGAGAGATGAATCCAACTCACCATTGAATTAACTCTAGTTCTTCGGGTTGCGGTAAGCCTTGCATGGAGCCACCACCTTGTTTTAAAATTTCGGCCCGGCTCAAAAACATGGTCAAGAAGGCAAGACCGACCTATTGCACGATATATGACCGTCAGTCACCGAAAGGCGAAGCATCAAAAGAAGTGAGCGGAAAGTGCGCGAGAGAGATCACCACACCTTACTTCTTGCCACCCAAACAATACTATTTCTTTCCACAAACAGTCCGAATAGTCTGATCACAATTCCCAATGGAGCTTCAGCCACGAACTGTAATAATGGTGGAACAACCGTATTCATAAATAATTCTACTTCCTCCAATATAATCGGACTCACGCTTCCTTGTGGACCCCAGACGGCACCTTTGCACACATCCAATGATTCAAAATTCGCGACCAACATCGTAATTATAAAGAGTATTTGGTCGGGAAGGCAATGACGCAGAACGCGAGGAATAACTTTCTTTCCTTTGGAAATAGACAATATACTAATGAAGGGATGTGTGTAACTTATATATATAAAGCACGTAATTCTTGTCAACATTTTTTTTTTTTTTCAGAATTGCAATTGCACATTAATCTTAGTTAATTACCCGACACCGATCATTTCGGTCACTCGAAGTTCTTTCCACATTGTCCTTGCAACCTCAGCGTATTCTTCCTTCCTAAACAAATGAGATGTGAGAATTTGACGATGATCGGTGTCCGAATTTTTCAATAACAATGCACACACCATTTTTCATAAGCTTCTCTTTCGTAATCTGTGTATATTCTTTGAGGTTGACTTCGCTTCAACTCTTCCAAGGTGAGTACAGCAGTATAAATATTCTCAATAGACCGAAACACCTTTCGATGATCCGTAATTCCGTATGATGAAATTGATGGAGTCTTATGATGCTGGTGAACGCTGCCATTATTGCTCGGCCCCGCGTGATTATGAGCGTCCGTGTTTTTGGAAGAGACTTGTAAAATCTGTCTGGGGTTGCGAACCGAATTAAGGGCTATCTTTCCCAGTGCACCCTCGAGTGACACTAATAGGGGAAAGCAGAAGCCAGAAACAGGGAATCAGTAGTAATTATTTTGGGTAAAACTCGATGTATGATCGAACAATGTTGCTTACGTTGTGTCATCTTCGGTTTTCTCCTTGCGTCGTTTACTATTCTCAATACTTGTTGCTGCATTTTTAATAAACCACTCTCCGACCCTCTACTTCGGTGACGACCTCTCTCGTGTCCCATGAAACCGGTTCCGCCGGCTTGCGGTGAAAAGGCTGACATCTGGGGTTGTTGCTGACGTGTTCGAATTGCCGTGTACACTTGGTAATAAAAATCGTCAGCGTATGGGTCATCCGTTACAAGTTGTGAAATTTGGATGCGATTGATGTAATCTTTATCGCTTTGTGTCATGAGCCCATTGTATCGGGACTATAAGTTTAAAATGATTAACCTAATATTAATAATGAATTAACATTTTTTTTTTTTTTTTATATGTTTTCTTGACGTATAATCGTAAATCAATGATAACCATTTCAGAAAGTCTTCGTTGTTTCTCTCGTCTTTTCTTCTCTCTCTCCCTCTCTCTCTGAATCATCAAGGCCTCCTGCTCCCGTAAGGCAGCTTCTTGCCCCAAGAAGGCAATGTTTTCTTGCTCTCTAAAGACCGCATCTGTCGTAGGATACAAGGGATGTGGCGGTCGTTCATTGATGCCCAACAGAGCTAGCATTCTTTTTTCGGATATTCCGGCCTGCCTGTGTAATTGCGCCTCAATCTGTTCGAGCGACATTGGTGTACGAGCGGTAGGAGGTGACGGACCGAAACCTGGTGGTGGCGAGGAAGTTGGAAGTGGTGGTGTGTATTGTTGTGAGTTTTCGAGGGAGCCCGAGATGACAGGCACCTCGAGGACGTCTGAGGTGACCAAGACAACAATGTAAGAAACCAAGAAGATTGATTGTGTTGAATGAGCACAACAAAATTTTCAAACTTAATTTAACCTGAAACACACCTTTACGATTTGATGGATGATGGAACGACCCCCATATTGAAGGGCTTATTGGAGACTAGGTGTGAAAACGATTGATTTTCATGGGATTGATGAGAAGGCTCACAAGGGAAATTGGATGTTTAATTAATTAATTAATTAATAATAACCTCAGGTAAAGGCGTGGCCCCCGGCACTATGTCACTTTTATGATTGTTTTTCCCGTTGATCATAACATCCGAATTATTACTCCACAGAGCCGCATAGGGCATTCGATTGTTATTTTCTGGATTTTCAGGGTGCATTATTTTTTCATGAGGAGAACGGCTTGAGAAACACGAAAATAAGTTCAATCATAATCCTACCGTTATCTGACGTGGAACTTTCCCTTCGGCCGACATAAATTTCTTCTTCCCGTTGTATTGTGTCTGCTATTTTCGTGGTGCTTTCTATGAAGTCAAATTCTTCTCCTAGAAACAGATTCCAAAAATGATCGACGCGAATTTTCAGTGTTCACGTTTTTTTAACCAGAAAAAGGACTTCACCTATTAACGAGTTATAACAAGACGCACCCATGTCAACGGTGACTCCGAACGTCTCATCGTTCATGTCGTCCCCCGATTCTTCCAGCTGATTTGCTAGATCAAAATTCTGCTCATAATCAAAGACCTCAAAGTTCTCCCCCGACTCGAGAGTGAAGGTCTTGATTTTCCTCTCCAACTCCTCGTCCTCCGTCTCGTCCTGCCGCCCGTTGACAGTGTGATTACCACCCGTGCCAGCGAACTTCTCCGAATTTAAGGGGGGCAACGTAGTATCGAAGTCGAAGAAAGAGTCCATGTTCTGTCCTTTCACTTCGCTTACCCTCTATCGGAATGTTACCAAAAATATATCAAAGGTAAAATAAATATTTTTATATGAAGGCGAAGATACCATTTATAGAAAGTATCAAAAAGAGATTCTGGCACGTAATGTGAAGCACGGGACACCCGGCGAATTTTTTTTTTTTTTTCTGATTTTAATTGGCTGTCGCATTATTCTACAACATATCGTATTTCACGTACCTTGAACTCGTTAATAATGCCCCCGATGAGAATTGGACGAGATGGTCATCTCTCAGCTCAAACAGGTAATCCGGAGATGGAACGATCTCAGAAGTCGAAATCGCAAGGAACACGGTACCTTAGGTGGCTATAAAAGCGCATGCTATGCATCACTTCCTTTCTTTGCGTGGAATTAAGCACACTTGCTTCATGTCTTTGATATCGCGCATTTTTATTGTTTGCAGGATTAAAAAAAGTACCTGTCTTTTTGTTTCAGAAAGGATCCATACTCACAACTCGAGAGTGAACTTCAGAGGGAAAAGGATCACCTAATGCTCATTTTAGAACACATCGACAACCAAAAACTGAAATTGAAAACCGAGGAGACCGTTTTGCTTGCGATGCTCAACATTCACGATCCAACAACCACCAATGGCACGACAACACCTCTATCAGACAATGGCTTAAATGTGGAGGAGGTATGTATACTGACGAATTCTTTTAAAAACAAACAATTCACTCATTTGCTATATTAAGGGTAATTTGGTGAACAAAGGAACTCCTGTGATTGAAAACGTTGACGCCAACTTTACGTCAGCATTCTCGACTTCGCCAAGTATTAGTTGTTTGAGTCCTGTTTTGAGTCAAAGTCCGATCGAATTAATTGAAGAAACATCGTCAATTATGCCCACTACATTCCGTTCTTCTGGTATACACGACGAAGGATCAGTGTTTAATGTCAATGATGAATCTCATACACCAGCCGCTCGATCTGATGATTTGCCCAACGTCGATTCGACCGATATGGAAATTGCCAATGCATTATCCATCCTCGAGAACATGTCGGATTGTGAAGATGACGATGTGGACGGAATGATTAATGTCGACGGATCACCCTCGGTGGTCAACGATAACGCATATGATACGGGTAAGTTGTGATTCAACGAGACAAATAACTTTCTCATTGCTCATTTGGACACTAAGTTGTTTTTTTTTTTTTACCGTGTCGTAGATAGCGACGAGGATGACGATGGGGGTGATGACGAGGACGATGATTTGGCTAGGGAGGCATTATCAAAGATGCTGGCGGACTATTCATAATCGAAAGATTAATTATAGTATTAGTGACACCTATTTTAAATCGATTGATTAATATTTGATTTTAATAATGGTGTCGCTAATACTATAATTAATCCTAATCGAATTATTTGCACGATTTTTCATTTATGCAAGATCAACGGAAAGAAAAATTCACTTTTCACAGGACAATCTTTTTTTTTTTTTTCATCATACATTGTTTTGTATCAAAAAGACCTATCCTTAATTTAACAATAACGTACATTTAATATTTCGTAATCAAACTTGAAATTTTGTACGCGAATATGCACCCAACCTAATAGTACTCTACTGATGCTCCTCGCAAATCGGAAGGTTACATAAATTTTCTGATATACAAAATTTTAGGATTAAATGATTAGTTCTGATGACAAATGCTAATTTTTTGACGCCACTTGAGACTTCCGTAAATCGCTTGATCGATCACGATTTGTACACTATATGCTAGAAGTGTGGTGATTTTTTCTATTCTTTTTTGTTAGTTTTTTGTTTTTATTTTTTTTGAAACATGCCCCTACGTCCAGAAGACTGCGGATTATTGTATTGAAAGGTGCATCGGGAACGGCAGCAAATATCGATCTGCATCTGCGAACTTAATTTTGTTCGCGACCTTTTTTTCTCTATGCGGTATCACAGTTGAAACTCGTGGAGCCGCGAAAGTACTCAATGACCATTGGTGGCTGGTAGATCGTTGCTATTCATTTGAACGCATTTCTTATACGCGTCCGTTTGTTCAGGAAAGGTTTCTTGAAGTTGTTCGAGAAACAAGTTTTTGAAGTCCTGACAAAGTAGATTCGTCAATTATGAATAAACTTAAAAATCTCTCAAACAATAATGAAATAGCGCGAGAGTTGCATAATTACTATTATGGCATCATTTTTTATATTGACCACTTGGTTTTCTGTCATCACTTCTTCGACATATTCTGACGTGAAGATGTCGGGATTGCGGCCTTCATCGATATAACTAGTGAGGAGAGAGAATTGAATGTCACCGAGTTATCGGAAGAACACCGAAGATTTTATTTTTATTCTTGACTTACTCTACCACTGTCATAGGAATCTCTATGTGTTTGATCTTTTCTTGAAGCCGGTTGACCTCGTCCAGGCATTCTACAAGTTCTTTCCTGTACAATTTTTTTTTTTTTGTTTGTTTGTTTGTTTCAAAAGAGCGAGCGCGTGAATAAAAAATTTAGTTTGTTTCCCTTGGGAGAAAGTTGGAGAAAATGATAATCGCACGGACAAACTTGGACCACTTACAAAGAATGTGAGATGGCCCACTTATTCTCCGACTCATATTCATTTAGTTGCACCATTATTTCCCATATTTTGTTCAGCAGGTTGTCTATTATTTCTTCGAGTTGAGCTCTTGGATCGGTGTGTCCATTCTGTGCGGTGGCCATCATCATGGGTCCCATGAATTTATCAAACTAAAAAAAACAACCTTTTGATGAATTTTGTTGTTGGTTTGATTCGATTGACGTATTGCTGATTACAAATGAAAATCTTTCCTAATTAGGATAAAAAAAATCAAATTATCGAAAATTCACAACAATTGCGCACGCACCGATCAAGTTCACCAGTCTTTCTTCGTAAATGACATTCAACTTTGGTAATTTGGGAAACAAACCTACTAGCACCACCACCACCACCGGTGCATTTGGCGCTTTCGGTAATAATCCAACGGTCGGAGGCACCTCTCAGGGAGGCTTTCTTTTCGGCAATCAACAAACGACAAGTGCCACCGGCGGTTTCTCACTGCAGAGTACTCAGGGTATCGCGTCATCTAACAGCCTGGGTGGGTTGAAACCTCAGACCTCTGGAGGTTTTGCGTTTGGAACTGATTTTAATTTCGGAGCAGCTAGCAGTAGTCAAGGGAATAGCCTCTTGGCACCACCGGCGGGAAACATAGGATTGAAAACAAACTTTGGCTGGAACACGGCAAGTACCTCTTCCTCGCAACCAATATTCGGAGGCCAAAGTACGCAAACCGGCTTGACCGGTTTCTCTACCACAACAGCTCAAGGATCGGGGATAGCAATGTAATAATATTCTTTTTATCATAGTTCTTATCGTCCTTTAACTAAAGATGAAAATTTTCGTAGTGGACAATTCAACATCACCAACATCACAAAGGCGACTAGATTTTCCGATCTTCCTCAAGAATATCAAAAATCCCTTGCAGAGTTGGAGTAAGTTGAATCCTTCGTTTTCGACCAAAAAAATTTTTTTTTTTTTTTTTTAAAAAAAACTCTTCAAATTCTTCACATATTGTATACAGCAATCACATACAACAGCAGAAACGAATGATGACATCAATTGGGTCAATGAACCTGCCGAACGTTAAGCAGCAAATACAAGATGTCTTCAACGAATCACGAATATTGTTTCAGGTACTGACCCAATTCCCTCGCAAGCAGTCCGGTTGGCATTCTATTTATTGAATGTGACAATAATCGCATGTCCGCCTGTAGGCTCGTCTAACTTGCTGAACCTATACCGTATAGAAATTGGCTCACCTGACAAATGATCTGCAAAGCGGCCAACTTTACATAGGCAAGTTGCTGACAGAGTTGGATAAACACATAGGACTCGTGGATAATGCTCGTCGATTTTACGATGCTGCATCCCAAGGGCAAAGCAATGCTGTGATACAAATTGGCGATAATGTGTTCTCAAAGTAATTCATCCATTCGTTTTGTTTACATAATCATCATGGCTATTTTTAACATTTATCCTAACCTCCTAAATCCATTTTAATCCATTACAAAGATATTATTATGACCTTATTGTCTTGTTCGAGGATCGATTGCAACAATACGAGTCGATTATCGATGTGAGTTTATGTTTTTAATTTCGCTGTTGTTTGCATTGCCCGCGCGGTTATGTCATCGCTAAAACAAATGTATCTATATTTCAACGATAGGAACTGGAACGTCATTTCTATTGGATATATCAAAATCCAGAGAGAAATGATGGTAAAGAATTATTTGCGTTCTTCATTGTCAGCAAGCAGTTTAATTCTTTGTGCAATACACAATTTAGCAAACCAATTGTTCTTCCACAGATCAGGACCTTACTGCACTCACCGAAGCCATGCGCAACCAGCACGACAGCTTCATGGCGATAACGGGGAAGGTTGCATTGTTGCACGAAAATGTGGAAAAATTACGCAATCAATACCTTAATTACCGACGTGCTAAACTCCTCGATAACAGCAATCCATTTCTCGGGCAAGGTCCTCAGAGGACGGATGGTTGGTGCAAATTAATTTACATCTCCGCATCACATTGTTTTAAAAAGATTAATTATTCATTTGATCTCGTCTCATTAGCCGTTCCCGTATTGTCTATCGTCGAATCCATGTCACCAAGGGAGCTGGCACAAACTATTTCGAGGAAGCCGCCAACAAGTCAATTTCAAGCAACCATTCCATTTGTCAAACGGTAAATGCAAGCATTATCGATCCTATAATCTTTAACCGAAAAATATATAGAAAAATTAGCAACTTTACGAGAAAACGAAACATTCTGCTTGATGGTAGTTTATTAAATTTGCATAAAGGGTACAACCAACGGTGTGATGTGTCGTGAGCAATCCGAGAATGCTGCAACATGATATAAGCTTGTTAAATTGTTGACTGTCACGGTTGCGTCTCACCGTCACTCGTGAGGCCGAACCACACTTATTTGAGATACAGATCTCGACGGGCGTCGAGCAATTCAATTATCAAGTGCCATTGGAAATTTTTGCTTATTTTGTACCTTATAAAATTTTTTAAAGATTTGCATCTTCAAACAATTGTATTTCACAAGTGTATACATATGATAATTTTCCAGGAAATGCCATTGGCTGGATCACCAATTATCTAATTACATTTCTTCTTATTATGGAAAATACTTGGGATTATGTTAAATTAATGAGATGGTAGTGCCAAAATTTATGTTATCATTGTGCATCTGATTGCACTTCTCCCTGCTGATGGACTCTGCAAATTTATCTTCACCAACTTCGATCTCTCGATCCTCGACTCCAATCCCACTGTCTAACCGTTCCAAGTCACTCAGGGACTTTGTCACACGTGTTCTAAGTCCAAAAGTTGCCATTATCTCTTCTCCCGATGTCGATCAGGTTTGCCAAGCTAACAATGTTCCCGACTTCTTAACATTTATAAAACCTTTTGGCGAACGCATTGAAGGAAGAGGTTCGTGCCGGTTTTTTTTTTTTCTTTTTTTTTTTGATCTCGCAAGCTAGTGCCGGGCACAAATTCATAACCTCAATGAAATTCTCGATCATCAACCTCCTAATGAACGATAGTTACTGCCCGTGATTCACAGGGTTTGCCAAACCCCATAGAAAACTTTGCGATTCGCTTTTCTAGTCTGACAAGTTTGGAGCAACCAGATGTTCAATTGACTTCGCAAATTCTCTCGGATAGGGTAAAATCGATCAGCAATAATTCCTCGTCGATAGAGGATTTTCCACAGATCACAGCGAAAACTGACGTTACAGAAAGGTATTTGGAAGGTATTTCCATTTTTCAATCGTCCATTCTTATAAAATGAAAGCAAGTTTTATCCATTCATTTATCGTCGTCTCATCATTTTTTTTTTTTTTTTTATAGCGAACCAAGATGACCTAACACCCTGGTATGCGGAATATCGGCGATTGTTTTTCACATTCACCGGCGTTTCCGAGCACGAAACTTTCGAACACCCCGTGGCTTGTATCCTTTGTGGTCGTTATATTTATTCATCGATGATGCCCTGATGTATTATCGACATAACTCATGTGCGCATCAGGCATCATCGCGATAAGCTCCTCGAACAATGAACCCATCGCCACACTCTCGCAAATGAACGACATCACATCCCCTACTCCTATATTTGATAAGGGATTCATAGATACCAATATCTTAAGATATTATGTCCTCATACATGACAACCACAAAGTGAGCCTAGAACAGTGAGTGATGGATTTCTTTTCGAATTTTCATGAAAGACGGATGTTCAGTAAAAATCGTTTAGCACTCATCGCTTTGTCCCATTTAACCAGTTCCGAAGGAGTTTATGAAAAGATGAAACGCAGTTTTGGACTTCACTGTCACCTTTTAAAATTAAATTCCATCTCGCCTGTTCTAGTTCCCGAAGATCGCGACCCCTTCTCCGTTCTCCCACCTCCACCAGTAAATCGCAAATCCATATCTGACATATGGGCCTCTTGTGTTAACGAATCAAATATCCTTAATACCTTACTTTCCTCTTCCTCCTCCCCTTCCTCCGCACCCACCGCCTCGACGGAAATTTATTCCCGCCAAAATTCCATATCCAGTTTCTCCCTGCCCCTCTCACCAACAACGTCAACCTTAAACTCACCATCCTCCTCATTTACCGAAGACGTGTTGTTTAGCAAAGAGAGTGGTAATGACTCGCAAGTTTCGCTTGGTTTGGGTTTGTCGAGTAATGAAATTCCAACGTTGATTTACGGGCAGTATCTTAGCGACGATGATCTCGCTGGCATTCATGTTTTCGTGAGGGAATTGGTCGTTCAGAGTGTTGTGCCTTTTATGGAACGAAACATTCAACACTGGAATGAGCAGGTAATTCTTGTTCAAACCAAAATGATCGACTCTATCAAGATGAAAGGCTTTTCTTCTTACATCACCGACTTTCACCTCAGGTTGCCTCGTCAAGGCGCGGAATCACTGGTCGCATTTTCAGTGCCGGAAGACGGTATTTTAACGCCGGACCAAAAACCTCCGGTTCCATTCAACAATCTTCCTACACATCCAACGTGTCCTCAAACGCGATGTCAGTTCTGTTATGACACATTTTGCGACCACCATTTTCCGTTATTGCCCGGCATGTAATTAATTTCACAACCTTGGTATCTAGATATCCTCATAATTCCCCGGAGGCTCAAATGCGTAAATTGGCCGATTGGTCTTTCATGTTGAGGGATTACAAGTTCGCGCACTCGGTGTATGAAACAATCAAAAAAGATTTTTCGGCCGACAAGGCATGGAAATATTATGCTGGAGCGCAGGTAATTTTCGTCTGGTCTACGTCGTTAATTTAACCGAATATCTTTCAACTCATAACGATACATAAATCCAATACACATATCCTGTATAATATATATATTAATTCGAAAGGAAATGACCGTTCCGTT